CGCAAACTGAGTGTCGTAAAGCCACAAAAAAAGCAATCACCCATAGGAACTAAATCTAACTGTGGGAAACCGAAAAAAAACTTCACGAAAGCATAAGTGATCGAAGTTAGTTTTCAAGGAGAGTTCCACACTCAAGTTTCTAAGGCCCATTTCTTCCAAGGGCGGGTAACGCTGTCCCACGGATAAATCGCTATTCAACCGATAATTGTGAACAAAACGTAATGCGCTATCCACCTTAAAGAGATTTATGGCAGCGAATAGCGTTGCGAAACGGTGCGATAGTAGCGGAGGATTGAAAACGAAGGAGATTTGAGTCGGGTTGCGTTCTGCCGCTTTTCTCGCGCCGTTTACTTTTTGCTCCATTTTTCTAACTGAATGCCTGGAACATGCTATTTAACCCTCAGTGATCAGAACAAGCTCGAGCAGCCACGTAAACAAAAATTGCTTTTTCTTGCCTGAGACTGCACCACAAATACTTGATTGCCACGCCCAAACTGGATAGCCTTGTTCCCAAGACCAGATACTCTGACAAGATTAAGGAATCATAAAAAATAAATAAACCGAAAAAAAAATTGATAGGTGCTTGTCATGCAAATATCCCCATAGCCTTTTTTATCACCACTTCCACAAGGAGTTGAAAATTAAGGCTGGAGGATTTACTATAGATAAAGTTGACTGCTATTCCTTTTACTTCTAGGATCTGAAAATCAATTCTCCTCACTGTCTGTAGAATATTTTCCCATAGTTTCAGCCCTGTTTTTAGCTGAACCCTCCCCCCTTCCTTATTAGGCCTGCTCACCTGGCAACAATAAGCAGAGTTGTGACCACAATTTTTCAAAGGGGAGGGGGTCACTCTGTGGCAAACGGAGGCTTCTCACCATCCATGACAGGATCACATATCAGTTCTACACTCATCTGCTGATTTTGTTCATAGTGAAATATTTGTGTAACTGCAAGTAAAGCAGGGTGGGGGAGGGGAGGTTAGGAGGGGTGGTCAAGAAGTAATTTGCTGCAAAAAGCTTTTGTGTTCTTGAGATCAAAGTTTGCAACCCCTTCCCCCTCCATTAAAAAAAATTTTCTGAATCTGCCCTTATGATGTTTTGGCAAAGGTACATGCTATTATTTAGTTTGTTGTTTACATTCATGTCCAGTTGTTGAGATCCTCACCTTAAACAATTCCCATAATGGATACTGTATCAGTGAAAATGGTATCTGAAGAAAATGAAAAAAAATAAAGTGGGAGTTTTGAGAAAAATAGAGATTATTCCATGGAAAGTGTGCACAAACAATTTTTCTTCACGAGTTGGGATGCGTCAAAAAAATGAATGAGCGAACACAGTGAACAAGTGTTACAAATGTTACACGTTTCCCTATAGAGCAGAATTGACAAAGAAAAATCTAGTTTCCACAGATCCAAGTCCTTCTGAATAATTTAAGGACAGTGGATTGTATAATACAGTACCTCTCTCATTAGTGTGTTCCAGTAACCTCTGTAAAAACCACGGACACCCTAGAATGCAGTTTACCAAAATGAGCATCACTTAAGCCTTTAAAGGATATCAATTTTCCCTCTTTTTTTAACTGTCCACAGTCATTGTTTTTTATGGTTATTAATGTCATCAGCATGGTTTTTTGAGGACATCATTATCATCATCATTTTCATTTTCATCCTTGTCAACACCATTTTAAAATATATTTTAACAAATGGATATTCAATTATTGACCCAAAAAGACAGTTACATGAACATGATTTTAGGTATCCAAGTGTACAATGTAGCAAATACTTTCTAAATGTAAATTTTTAACTAGTATGTACAAGGTACCTCTTGTACGAGGGTGTACTTCAGAGCTTGCACACTGTTCATATGGGTGTAAGCTTGAGCTCGCTGCTTTACAACTTCAAATGGATTTCTCACAAAAAGTGATACCTGTCACATAAATAGAATAATTTTTTACTTAGGTATGAATTTAAATGTAAAAAAAGAAGATACTGTATTGAATTGAAGTTTAGAAATCAGCTGTGGCACTCTCACAGGTTGGATCTTTGTTCACCTTTTCTAGGGTTAAGGGAAATTTAACCCTTAAACTCCCATGAGTGACCAAGACAGAATTTCTCCTTACAATATCAATGCAATATCAAGCAAACAAGTAATAAGAAAAAGAAAAATGTCAATCAGGAGATTATTAGTTGATCCAAAACCAAATTCTCCAAACTAACATTACAAGAACTGTACAGTAGACAGTAAGGAGAATTACTAATGAGATCTTGGGAGTTAAAAGGTTAAAGGGCTGATGATAACTTACGACTTCACCAAGAGTTGCCGCACACATGTGTACAAATGGGAACATTGTTGATGATGTCCTTGGCTTGAGTACATTTTTGGTCAGTTCATATGTACAAAAGAATGTAGCAGCTGAAAGAGATGAACATCAAATCCAAATTTAGTAAAGAATTTAATTTTCCTAATCCTTTCACTCCCAATATCTTGTTAGTTATTCTCCTTACTGTCTGCCATGCAATTCTTATGAGAATTTGGTATTGGATCAACTAATAATCCCATAATTGATATTCTTCTCTATTCTCATCACCTGCCTGCTTGATATTGTATTGATATTGTAAGGAGAAATTCTGCCTTGGTCACTTGTGGGAGTAAAAAGGTTAAGGAAATTGGTATTGGATCAACTAATAACCCCCTAATTGATATTTTTCTTTATTCTCATCACTCCTGCTTTATATTATATCCATATTGAAAGGAATAATTCTGTCTTAGTCACTTGTGGGAGTTGAAGGGTCAAAAGGACAGAGTTCAGGGAAAAGAATCATAGATGCATCACCTGCAGGAGCCGAACCACTTGCGGCAGAAGCAATCCCTGAATATATTCCTCTGAAGCCACCAGCTTTGACGAAACCTTCTACTGACTGCAGCCTTGTCTTCAGAGTGTCAAGGGGAAACAAAATTACATCAACAGCAGTTCCAGCCACTCCTCCTGCCTACAAAATCATAAGAATAAACATTGTTAGGCTTCAGTCCACTTAACAATGCAGAAAGGAGTGGTTACTCACAAAATTTTAGATATGGAGTATATAGTTCCTGCCCCAAAACTCCAAACTAATCCATACAATGTTTTATTCAAATGCATTTTTACAACCCTGAACTTTGCATCACACCAAAAATTCCCTAAGCCTTGGGTGAGCTTCAATTCACTTCTTCCTTTAAATCCCCCCTTTACCAAAGATTAACACCCTATTCAACAAAGTCCTTTGTTGCCTGATATGTATAGATGTGGTCCAGACCCTCTTTTTTCTGGCTTCATCTTACTGCTCAAGACCCATAGCCTCACTGTTTGTGCACCAACCTAGAGAGCTTACACCCTTGCTGCATAATTTCTGGCTACTGGCATAGGTCACTTATTTGTGGTTTCTTAGCATGTTGGTTCCAGCTATGTTTTACTCAGAGGTTCTTTATGTATTACAACCTCAATGAGCATTTTGGGAGAGAGAGAGGAGGTGTGAAAATGAATCGATCTGTGACAATAAGGGACTGGTCACATACTTTTGGGGGTAGGGGTAAATCTTAAAGAAGTGACCAACAGTAGAGTAAATCCTAATTTCACAACACCACCTTCTTCACCTTCTTCTTTAACCCCCAGTTACGAAAATTTGGTGTTAATTCAAGATAAGAGCTCCTACCTGATAAGTTTTAATATTCTCATTACCTGTTTGCTGTATAATATATGGGAATTTTGGGGAGAAAATACATGTTAATCACTTCACTGAAGTTTATGGGTTAATATACAATTCCTGAGTATATCCTTACCAGAAGGGAGACATGAAATGGAACTGGTCTTTCTTTCTTTGTCATGTGGTTTGTTTGTTGGTCAAACTAACAAGTAGTCTTGTCGTTCTCCATTTCTAGTTGCTTTACTACAAGACATGTAATGAAATTAAATCACAAATTTGCACCCGCTGGTGTTTGAAGTAAGTGAGAGCTGTGTTATGCTTGTAAGAACACTACACAAAATACGTATAAATGGCCAAATATTTATCGATTCATCCCTGATCGTCAAAAAAGTTCACGGTTCTTTCTTCGTTTGAATACCGTTGAATATTGAAAGATCGAGACTGGGTCGAAATTCAAAAATAATTGGCTACCTTTACAACTTTTTACAGGAACGAAAAAAATATCCATTTAGTAAACGTCGAGGAAAAAATAATTTTTGATAATTGATTTACCTCAAAAAAAAGAAATTGGAAAGCATATCTCACTGTGCTGGCCGCCATTTTGGAACCACGAGACATCTACTGGTACTCCAGTAGATTGCGTGATCACAAACTGTACTAATGTCTTGCGTGACATATACGTGACATCTACTTCATCTACCTTTCTCGAGGTCAGTGTCTGAGGTGCCTGTGATAAAACTAACACGCTGCAAGATGCAGATTTAATAATACAGTGATAATACAACTCAGATTTAAAAAAAATTTTATAAAACAAGAATATTCCTTATACATTCCTCATAGCAATATCTTTTTTATGACAAATTGAGTAGATTGTGCAGTGGCAAGTTTGCATTTTTATTGACTTTTTGACAGAGCTCACCACTTAACCTCGCTTTTGAATACTGCCCATACCACATATAACCGATGTAGATTGAACAAAATGGTTTGTTTTTTCAAAGCATCACGTTCTGCGTGACATATGCGTGACTGCTCACTTGTTTCATTCCTCTCTCAGCTCAGAGGCAAATTAAGGCTTTGTGTTTCCACAAGGTCATAGTCCGTTATTTCATTTAATTTTTGAATGACCAAAAGCAATGAAATTTGTGAACCAAATTTTATTACACAAGAATGTTCACCTAGTATCAGCACTGCCGGCTTACAGATGGCCTGTGTTACGCGACTTCACTAAATTTCGTCATGATGTCATGTCCCGGAAGTCAGTAGATACCCATATTTGGTAATATCATCAGAGGAAATAACAATTGATTTCGAAATCTCTAGACACCGCCGCTGCAGAACACATAAGCTGCGACATCGCGGAGTGTTTAAAGAAAACTGAAAATGAATTCCCTTCTCTTCTTCTCGTGTTTGGGGACTTTAGTCGCAGGTGACATTTATATGCACAATCCAAGGTGAGACAACTTTTCTGAAACTATTTTTATGCTTGTAAAGGAGAATCATCGAAGAATCGAGTGCTAATGAATTTGGCACGTTTGTGCGCTTGATCAACAAACCGTGAGATCAACCAATATTTCGTTTTAAATCAAAATTTTTTATCTTTTTTACGCTCAATATGCTTTAATTCTTATCTTCTCCGCTATAAAATCACAATCTTGATTAATTTGTGAAAAGAAAATGTAAATCTGCAGTTCAATGAGGATACTTAACAAGAGTTTATCACTTTGACAAGTTATTGACATACTCGAATTATGCCACTGTTCTTTAAATTGGATGTTTTTCTTTCAAACAGTTGCTCTTTTACGTCGTATTTGTACTGCAGTGCTAAGTTGAAGACGTCTTTATATTGCTGAAATCGTTAAAAGTTGCGGTTAATGTTTAACTTTAAAGATGTTGCTTCGGATAATTTTTTAGTTTCGTCTAATGTGTTTATGTGAAAATAGCCAACTTGAAATTTAAACAAGGAAGTGAAAACAACCAACTTGAAATTTAAATCAGGATGTTGAAAAGTTCTTATTTTTCTTCCTTCTCTATACTCGCCTAGTTTGGAACATATTTTGACTGTCAATGACATGACACCCCTAAATTTTACTTTCGAAAGTTATCGATAAAAACTTGATAATAGTTGGCATACACGTCAAAGTAAAATTTTGACAAAAAATATACCAAAATAATTGGGCTTTTTAACAGCAAGATTTCCTGGAGATACGTACGTTAAGTGTTTTAAAGAAATCTTGCACCATCAGTAACGTTTTTCACACGTTGCAGTAAATAGTGACGAAAGTGAAGCTAGGAAAATTTTTTCTGATCTGCGTGAAGATCAATATTCTACTGAGTTACGTCCTTAGTTAAGTCTAAAATAATTTTGTCTTGTTGCCCAATGTTTAGAGGAAGCAACAATCGTCTTAATGAAGCTCGGAGAGAGAGAAATAATGCAAACAGGTAATGAATATTATTATAAATATTTAAAACTTTGGAAATTTTTTCCACAATTTTTGGATTTTCCACAGTGTTCTGTACCAGGTTATCTTTTGTGCTTGTGTATCACTAAGCAGCTGATATTTTAATTTCAAAAGTGTTTGTTTGCATGGACAGGTTATTTGACTCGCAGAACAATAACCGTGGTGGATACAATGTTGGAAAGTTGTATTATTATGAAGGCTCAGTCTTGTCTATTGAGTGGTGAGAATCCTTTGATAGATTTACAGATTTATTTTTCAATGAGATTTATGATGATGATGGCGAAGTCTGAATTGGAAAAAAAATCAGACTTGACAGATGCCCTACACTGCACACACAAATATTGACTCTTTAACTCCTAAAAGTGATTAACATGTAACTTCTCCCTAAGATATCCTCACCTCATTCAACAAACGGGTCATAAGAAAACTAAAACTTATCAGGTAGAAGTTGTTATCTTCATCCAACAAATTCTCGTTACTAATTTACAAAGAAATAGGGAGCAGCTAGAGGGGAGAATCAACAATCAGATCTTGGGAGTTAAAGGGTTGAGCTGTTTACAACTGTAGCTCCAAAGGCCCAATATTTTAGGGGTTTGTTGTCATATGACAATAAACTACCCTTTCCTTTAGTTAAACATGTTATTTACAGGAGAGAGTAAGAAAATAGAGAGGGGTCCAGAGTGTTACTTTTAGGCAGGGGTAGGTAAAGGCATGCTTAAGCTACCTTAACACCAAAAGTCTAATTTATTTATGAGTGTTCTGACATCTAAAATGGAGGCAAAACATAAATGGTACATGTGCATTAACCCATAAAAATATTTGCTCATAGAAATAGATTGCCTCCTACTTGGGTGTAAGTTGATATTTTATTGATATTTGGTTGATACTCATTTCAGGACAAATCAACATTCTTGTGCAGACCCTAACAACCATTGTGATACGATTTTACAGTACATGTGTGGGGATGATGTACGCGATGGAATCACTACACAGTAAGTAACTATATAAACTCATTGTGTGGCTCTTTGGGTTCTGACTTCTTTATAAAGTACCTGTGTTAATTCATTTTCTAGAACCATTCCAGACAATCCTGCATTGTGCCAGAATTATGACTGCAACAGTGATGTTAGGTGAGTAGTGAAACTTCCAGTCTTTTTGGTGGCCTTAATTGGTTGCTGATTGTGACTTACTGTTGGTCACTGAATGTGTGACATATTACCTATATTACCGACATATTACTGACTTTTTGGATGGTATGTCTGACAAATTATTTTGATTCTCCTGGCCTGTGTTATATTAGCGCTGCTGCCTATGGTATTATGACCCAATTAAGAGACCAATAAAATCTTTATTGTTGTTGTTGTTTTTTTGTTGTTTGAGAGATGCAGTGGCCTTTTGTTAGCACTCTGGACTCCAGGTTGGGAGGTCTGCATTTGAGCAAAGCACTTACCTCTCACAATACCTTTCCCCACCCAGGATAAAAATGGAAAAACTGTCAGTGATGGAAGGCTGTTAAAATACTAAGGGAGGAGGGGGATGGGGGTGGAAGGGTAGTAACCTGCAATGGACTAGCATCCATCCAGGGGATCCACCCTCTCACTCCTAAGATCTCATTAATAATTCTCCTTACTATCTGCCATACAATTCTTATGATGTTAGCTCAGGGAATTTGGTATTAGATCAACCAGTGATTCCCTAATTGCCATTTTTCTTTATTCTCAACACTTGTCGGTTTGATATTGTGTTGGAATTGTAAGGAGAAGTTCTGTCTTGATCACTCATGGGAGAGAAAGGGTTAAAGAAATACTTCTAGTTTTTTCTGTAATATACTCTGACCAGATGAGCTTCTTGGCTTGATTGGCATAAATTTTACTTAAATTTTTCTCTGACAGATTTGGGATGCATGAGGACTATGATTATTACATGGATTGTAAATACAGGGACAGAAACAAAGGTCTTTTTACTGCTGATCAGGTAATGTACAGAGATTAATGCTGTTCTTATATATCGCCATTTGATCATTTGTCTAAAGGGGAGACTGGGAATCCTTTCTTGTATCACCCTTAGGGAGGTACTTGTAAGGAGAAGATCCTGGAATTTTTGATAGAAAGGGTCCAACTTTTGATTCAGAAAATGCAATTTTTTATGCAATAGGCTGAATAAGCTAAGAATTATTGCATAGTAAATTGAAGACCTTACATTGTAAAGTGATGTAGAGTTCTGTCATTGCACAAATTTTTGGTATCAGGCTAGTAGTAAAAAGCCCACATGTCTGATGGGAGGGGGTGCAGACCCTCAGACCCTCTCCTTTGAACTGCCATTGATAATGAGTTGTGATGTAAGGACTGAAGTGAAATGAGAAATGCAAAGGAAAGAGAATATAAGAGAGAGTCTCATGCTCTCCCCCTCCCCCCCCCCCCATCCACCCTTTCCTTCTCCTACACCACCTGATATCCACTTAATCCTTTAACTCCCAAGTGATTAACATGTATCTTCTCCCTACAATATCCATACATAATTCAGCCAACAGGTTATGAGAATGTTCGAAGTTAAGTTATCAGGTCAAAGTTGTTATCTTGATTTAACACCAAATTAAAATTGTAATTAATTTATACACAATACTTTTTCCTGAACTCTGTCTTTCTTTGTATTTCTATAGAAGCTGAAGAGGTTATCTGCCACTGCAACCAGGCAAAACCCTGGGGGAACGAGGCGTGGCTATGAATGTCCTGAAGAGAGAGACTATTACCCTTATTGGCACCCCACCCCATGGAAGGACATTGCCGTGTTAACCAATGATATTTCGAGATGTGGATTGTACCAGTCAGAAAGCCAGAATGTGAAAGATCGCTACGCTTGCGAATTACCCAAAGAATACCTGAAGGCTAAGAGATGGAGGAATTACAGGATACCAAACAACGAGGAGGAATGCAAGGTATAACAGTTACTATAATGGTGATAAAACAATGCTGCATCAGGGATGATACAGTATACAAGACTATAAGGAAATTCTTGAACGTGATTGGTTATAACTAGCCCGATTTATAGTGATCATATCGTGACCAAGTAGAGTCCAATTCGGTAACAAACTCGGACGATCGCGAAGCGGTAGTCCGATTTGTTAATCACGAGTATGATTACAGACAGAACTGGACGACACAAAGTATTGTCACCAATTAATCAAAACTATGAAATAATTTAAGAAAGACACTAAACATCGGTTAGACGTTTTCATAAAAAATACAACAGTTAACTCGGCGAAATGCGAAAAGACAGCGCGCGCACATGACGCGTGCTGTCCACTTACACAGGCATGAAGTGTTAACTGTCCTTTTAACTTTCCTTTCACACTGTCCAATTACAAGCATGACGCGTACACTGTCCTATTAGTGCTCAAATCGGGCTGGTGATGACTAATCACGTTCGAGAATTGTGTTATAGATTTGATTAGAGCGCGACATAGAACAGTGTAGTTTTGATCACTAATGCTGCCGGCCTCTCGAAACCTCTACTCGGCATACATTAGAGTCTATTCTGTGGCCAACTGAGACCCCGTCTCGGTCACTGTTGGACAAATGTAATTTTTCACGATCGCAACAGTATCAACTTTTTATTCGCCAATCTTCCATTTTTTAAATTCCTACCTACCAGAATGTTTTTACCCCTAAAATCTAGAAAATGTGCGACCCCATTCCTGTAACTCGACGGAAAATGCAACTCTCTTATTGTCAATCCAGTCGTGAAAATAAGACCCCGTGTTTTTTTGTTTATTTTTTTTTACCTTTTTTCAATGCAAGAAAGTAGCTGAAAGAAAAATTAATACCGTGGATTGAAATACCGCGTGCCTAAATTAGAGGCGTGGTGCGCACGTGTAGACTTTTTTATCGCGTGTCACTCGTAAGCAATTTATCCTTTGTAATCTGTTTTTCAAGGCATTAAATGCAACGTGGAAGAGGTTCCCGTCACATGGCCTCGATGCTCCAGAGTGCCGGGAATCCGCCTGGTCACGTGACAATCACCTTGGCAACGGAATGGGTGGTTACGCCAATAACTATAACTGGACGCTACCCAAGTTGAATCACGAAAATTGCGTCTTGCGAATAAGGTGAGGTTCCTGATAAAGGCTTTGTCTTTGACTTGTGTACAATTGCAGCCCTTAAGCTTTGTGATTTAGTTACGCATTCGTGATACCACAGTAAGGCCGAACCTGTTGATTTGTAGAGATTTAAGGAAGCTCTGAATTTTTTTTTCCTTAATATTGAAGAAAGATGAATTTTGATATGTTGGTGTATGACTATTTTAGTAAAGCTTAAAACGAAGTGGTAATTTACATAGATACACGTTATTAGGTAAACTTTGTGTTCGAAAAGTCTCGAGTTTTCTATTTACCTCCTGTTTGTTTCGTTTTACTGACACATCTGTTTCTTCTTTATCTTTTGTCGAATTTTGCGTGACAGCGGTTGTTGCATATGTTTTGCTTAAAAAAGTTTTCGCGGGAAATTGACGCGCGGCCGGGTAAAATTTATCCACTTGCACATGCGCGACGTTTGACCGCTGAGATGCGTACGTAACGCATGTTCAATTTGCATTTCCTCTTTGGTGAAGTAGATCATTAGTTTGCGTTTAATGAACATTTCCTTCAGGTACAATATTTCCACTGGCGATTATGACGGTTGGGACTCCTCAGTAAACAGCTCCGTGAATGGAATAAAGCTTGACGTGGGAGAGAAGTACGGAATGAACAAGACAGTGGCAGCCCAAAGAGGTTACGTCTACAAACAGAATCCTATAGTAAAACTGTTCCCGTCTTTTGATTTGAAGCTCAGATTAGCAATTAATACAAATCAATACGGCCGAGTTTTTCAAGACAGGTGGGTTCATACTACGCGTCAAATATCCCCACAAAATAACGATAGCCGCAGAGATAACGCGGGGGGTTGCCAAGTTTTTCGTATAGGGGGTGGCCAGTATTTTTTTCGGAGGAGGGGCAAAGTGTAGTTGGTGATAACGCTGTCTGTCAGTGGGCTCGTACTTAAAGCAACAAGGACCTGCAAATGGCGTATTCAGTATTAAATACTGAAAAAGATTTATACCATGAAGATTCTTTACGTACGCATGCTTCCTCAATTCTGAATTATCATGTTAATATGCTGTTGATTAAAGGAAAATAATTATCTTACAAGGAGAGGGGGGTCACGCCCTTAAAAACTTTGACGATGACGATATTGAAAACAATACACATGCCCGAGATAGAGAGACTGGTACTAGGCCATCTTGTCTCCTACCCAGGCTCTCTGGTCAAGGTAAGGCAGTATTAGCAGACCGAACGATCTTCATTCTCCCCCCTCTCCCACCGGCCTCTTCTCTCGAAACTCCTGGGTCCTTCCAATCGAATCCTGTTCGTAGGCTTTTATTCTACAGATTGCTAAGTCTCACACTCATAGTCCATCTGTTCACAGAATCTTTGAGTCGTTTCATCGCAACAATTATCTTTAATAATCTACATCTGGAGTCATCATTAGTTTACTTTTCCTAGGTCCCACACATTTGCAGTACGCCCCCGGCCATCTGATCTGGAAGGTGTCCATATTCACAATTTGAATGTTCGTGGGAAGCGCGGTAACATTGTTCAAGTTTATCCCGGCGTAGAGTACGACTTTTTTCCCAACTCCATGTTTGTGAAAGATGGTGACTACATCCACTTTCAGTAAGTAAAACTATGGAGAAATGTTTTCTTATATAATGCACTTTCCAATTAAGTGTTGTTGAAACCCAAACTAGATTTATCAAAACGCCAATCAGAGAGAAGAAAAAATATCACAACCAAGTCAGCGGTTGATATCAGTTTCACATCTGATTGGTTGAGGGGAGGCGCTAGGTTTCTGGACCAATCACAGAGCGAAATAAAGCAAACCAAATGCAATCCTAGATTAATTTCGACATTCAGTTGAAAATAGCTCTATTAGCACCAGTATTGGGACAATATTGGCACAAAATGGTAATGGTAATCCTATCCATTATCAGGTGGACTGGTTCAAACTCGAACCCTAATAACAACGATGGCCAGGGAAAAGCCGGAACAGACCGATCAAACGTGGTCCTATTGAAAGAGAACGAATGGCGTAGAAACTACCCGCCACATCTGGACAGTACCACCTTTTTAGGTCTGGATAAGAACAGTCTGCATAACCTGGCGGTCTTAGACAATAGTAAGTAAAGTCAGAGAACCTTTATGTTGCCTTTTTAGTCTTCACATCTAGGACTGATATACGTTAGCGAGTGATTCTTAGACACGTGTGTTTCCGCGTGCTTTGCTTTTACGCCTAGTCTACCATCAACTGCACAGGTTTCCAGAGTCTTTTCTCCGGCGCTCTTTTAACTAGAAAAAGGCCCTGTGAAGTTGACTTTTCCTTCCTGAGGACTTTCCTCTTCAGAATGAATACCACCAACCTCGGCCAATCAGAATTCAGGAAAGGAAATCGACAAAAAGGGTCAACCAATTAAAAGTCATTGTGTACTTTCTCGCAAAAGAGTAACGTCTTAGAACACGATTTGTGTCAGGTTTTCGTAGACGTTCCCTCTCCTCCGTTTCAACTGGTAGGGGGAAGGGTACGGCTACACGTAGTTTAGATGAATGGTGATAGGTGGTTGTGTATGATGACTTGTAATATATGATTATATATGAAAATGTACGATGTATGTCAATAAACAATGCTATATGATATGGTGACAGGTCAGTTTGGAGGTGACATGTCAGAGCTGGACGATGCCGGAACATATTTTGACTTGGGACCAAAGAAAGTGACTGGAACAGGAACATATCATTACATGAGCACCAGAAACAACAACTTTTCAAATCGCAGCCAGAAAGGAAAGATCATTATCTCAAACACAGAGCGAATCGAGAAAATGATCGGCAGAACTGGCGGAAAGCTAGTGTTTAGTGAGTAAGTGATACAGGCTTTTTCTTTTTTTCTTTCTTTTTTCTTTCTTTCTCTCTTTCTCTCTTTTTTCGCTTTTTCACTTTATTTTTCCTTTATTTTTTCTCTTTCTTTCTCTTTTTCTCTCTTTCATATCTATCTATCTCATTGTCTTTTCTCTCATTGTCTTTTCTCTCATTCTCTTTTCTCTCATTCTCTTTTCTCTCATTGTCTTTTCTCTCATTGTCTTTTCTCCCATTCTCTTTTCTCTCATTCTCTTTTCTCTCATTCTCTTTTCTCTCATTCTCTTTTCTCCCATTCTCTTTTCTCTCATTGTCTTTTCTCTCATTGTCTTTTCTCTCATTGTCTTTTCTCTCATTCTCTTTTCTCTCATTCTCTTTTCTCTCATTCTCTTTTCTCTCATTGTCTTTTCTCTCATTCTCTTTTCTCTCATTCTCTTTTCTCCCATTCTCTTTTCTCTCATTCTCTTTTCTCTCATTCTCTTTTCTCTCATTCTCTTTTCTCTCATTGTCTTTTCTCTCATTCTCTTTTCTCCCATTCTCTTTTCTCCCATTCTCTTTTCTCTCATTCTCTTTTCTCTCATTCTCTTTTCTCCCATTCTCTTTTCTCTCATTCTCTTTTCTCCCATTCTCTTTTCTCCCATTCTCTTTTCTCCCATTCTCTTTTCTCTCATTCTCTTTTCTCTCATTCTCTTTTCTCCCATTCTCTTTTCTCTCATTGTCTTTTCTCTCATTGTCTTTTCTCTCATTGTCTTTTCTCTCATTCTCTTTTCTCTCATTCTCTTTTCTCTCATTCTCTTTTCTCTCATTGTCTTTTCTCTCATTCTCTTTTCTCTCATTCTCTTTTCTCCCATTCTCTTTTCTCTCATTCTCTTTTCTCTCATTCTCTTTTCTCTCATTCTCTTTTCTCTCATTGTCTTTTCTCTCATTCTCTTTTCTCCCATTCTCTTTTCTCCCATTCTCTTTTCTCTCATTCTCTTTTCTCTCATTCTCTTTTCTCCCATTCTCTTTTCTCTCATTGTCTTTTCTCTCATTCTCTTTTCTCTCATTGTCTTTTCTCTCATTCTCTTTTCTCTCATTCTCTTTTCTCTCATTCTCTTTTCTCTCATTCTCTTTTCTCTCATTCTCTTTTCTCTCATTCTCTTTTCTCTCATTCTCTTTTCTCCCATTCTCTTTTCTCTCATTCTCTTTTCTCCCATTCTCTTTTCTCTCATTCTCTTTTCTCTCATTCTCTTTTCTCTCATTCTCTTTTCTCTCATTCTCTTTTCTCTCATTCTCTTTTCTCCCATTCTCTTTTCTCTCATTCTCTTTTCTCCCATTCTCTTTTCTCCCATTCTCTTTTCTCTCATTCTCTTTTCTCTCATTCTCTTTTCTCTCATTCTCTTTTCTCCCATTCTCTTTTCTTTCATTGTCTTTTCTCTCATTGTCTTTTCTCTCATTGTCTTTTCTCTCATTGTCTTTTCTCTCATTCTCTTTTCTCTCATTCTCTTTTCTCTCATTCTCTTTTCTCTCATTCTCTTTTCTCTCATTCTCTTTTCTCCCATTCTCTTTTCTCTCATTCTCTTTTCTCTCATTCTCTTTTCTCTCATTGTCTTTTCTCTCATTCTCTTTTCTCCCATTCTCTTTTCTCCCATTCTCTTTTCTCTCATTCTCTTTTCTCTCATTCTCTTTTCTCCCATTCTCTTTTCTCTCATTGTCTTTTCTCTCATTCTCTTTTCTCTCATTGTCTTTTCTCTCATTCTCTTTTCTCTCATTCTCTTTTCTCTCATTCTCTTCTCTCCCATTCTCTTTTCTCTCATTCTCTTCTCTCTCATTCTCTTTTCTCTCATTCTCTTCTCTCTCATTCTCTTTTCTCTCATTCTCTTCTCTCTCATTCTCTTTTCTCTCATTCTCTTTTCTCTCATTCTCTTTTCTCTCATTCTCTTTTCTCTCATTCTCTTTTCTCTCATTCTCTTTTCTCCCATTCTCTTTTCTCTCATTCTCTTTTCTCCCATTCTCTTTTCTCTCATTCTCTTTTCTCTCATTGTCTTTTCTCTCATTGTCTTTTCTCTCATTCTCTTTTCTCTCATTCTCTTTTCTCCCATTCTCTTTTCTCTCATTCTCTTTTCTCTCATTCTCTTTTCTCCCATTCTCTTTTCTCTCATTCTCTTTTCTCTCATTCTCTTTTCTCCCGTTCTTTCCACCCATCTTCCTTTCTTTCATTTAATAATCCATTTCTTTCACGTCTTCCTTTCTCTCCTTCTTTATTTCTTTCATTCCTTTTTTTCATTCTTTCTCTCTTTCTTTCGTTTGTATCTGAATTGCTAAAATAATGTATCTCTAACGTTAACCTCCTCAAACCCTAAGAGTGACTAGCGTCAAATTTCTTCCTTCAATATCACCCCTGAATCACGCGTCAAGGTCGTGAGAGTAAAGGAAATGACCACCAACGAAAGAATCTTTTGATTGGTAAACAAATTCTCCTCGTCAGCACCTTAAGAAATGTGTAAAAGGCAGTATGGAGAATATGCATACTGATGTTAGGGTGTAAAGGGTTAAACTCTCATTTTTCATTTTCCCATCAGTGGTCAGCATGTGACCTTTGAGGCAGAGGCTCTATCTCAGTTACAGCCAATCAGTGTCGAGCTTATGTCGGCAGAAGATGGCGACAAAATGATCGAGGAGAGAGGAGGTAGAATGGGTGTTGGTAGTGGGTACGCGAGCGCCTTTTTAGCTGTGAACCCACACTCGTTAGAGACGAACAAAAAGTTCAAAATCGGAATGAAGATTGATTCCAGTGCAGCGTCTAAAGTGCAGTTTTATCGTTCCTCCGACGATATGGATCTAAAAACTTGGTACAAAGTGGACTCTACCATTTCAGACGACTTTGCCACAGTAGAGACAGATAAAGGTAATACGTTTATTAATTCTCCTATTCATTGTTCGCCCAATATCTAGGATGAATCTAGTAAGTCATGACAAATTATGCTAGTGAGAACGCTTCAATGACTTCACAACGCGTCTTGTTGGAAACTGTACGATACGTTAATTATTCTTAATTTGATTGACATTTATAAGTGATTTCGCTTATATTTACATAACCAAACAAACATGTATGCGGCACGTGTTTTATCGCCCTATATATGGTATTGTTCCTACGTGCTTACTACGGGACGTTTATGTGTGTTCTTTTCGAATGAGCTGGGAGTTGTGAGTGGGAGTTAACCGAAGCGTTGTAATAGAATCGTTAAATCAAGTGAATAAACCGTGACATAATAAGGAAGCGTGGTACAGCTTTTTCACCTTTTCGAAAGTCCCTTCCTGCAACTGTATACGTATGCGTTTCCTTGTAAAAGAAATGCCAAAACATTGGCGATTGCCTTATAGGCAATTCTAATGCTGCTTATCTGAACGCTTTTCGACCAATTGTGATGAAGCCAGTGCTAAAGTTATAGCGACGACCAATCATAACAAAGAAAATATCAAAAGAAGCCAATAAAAAAACTCCATGTAAAAACAAGGAAACCGACTGTAAAAGCGCGGGAAAACGTGAGAGGTAAAAACGCGGGAAAGCGTGAGAGGTCAAGTCGCGATTTAACTTAGCCAGCAATGCATTTTATTGGTCGAGAGCATGGCGCAAGTTTTGCGGACCAATCACAGACCATAGTAAGACAAAACCAATTCCAGTCCCACTCTCTTATAATCTCGATAACGAAAACTTGCTATTTTGAGTAACCTCTTGTTTAATTTTTTTCTAGGCGGAATCTACGTGGCACGAACCGTGCCTGACAAAGCCGCTATAGCCGGGATAGTGATCATGTGTCTTGTTATCGTGATTGCGATTGGTGGATCAGTATTTTACTTCAGACGTCACCCAGACAAATGGCAGAATCTTAAGACATCTGTTGTGAATGGATGCCGCTCGTGCAAAGGCAAAGTTTGATCAAATATGAGATTAGAAGAAGTTATTTAACGGGTTTTTGTTCCGTATGAAACTCAGGATTAACGTTGTCATTTGCAATCTGTGTAAATCTGCCTTTCTTTTCCATCCGTGTTCTATTTGTGTTGATCCCTATTTAGCTTGTGATCAGGCCCTCATTATCATCGGTGCAAGACGTGCGTTTCTCCGCCCGCGGGAAGACTTGAGACGAGTCGGGGAGAGGTCTGGTACTAATTATCAGTGTTAGACCCCGTGCACATCTCGTACTTTCCGCGAGCGAAGAAATGCCTGTGCCGAAGCGCTAATAATGAGGACCTGCACTACGCCATGTTGTTTTTCTATCTGACCAAACTACTCTTTAACAGTTAACCTCTCGCTGAGTGAAGTTTTCTGCGCCTCTGAGTTGAAACGGTTCAAAATCTCGTTGCGTAGCTTCTTGGCAGACAAATAAAGGAATAATGCAGTGTCTGAATGGAAAGTTTTCGAATTCATTGTCTTAATTGTTACTGATAGAGTTTAGAAAAAGTATTTAATTGTTAAATGGTTTCCTAAAGAGTATATATCCGAATTGAAATATTGATATAAAGCACCTATAGTGATTTGGAGTCTTAAATTAAGTTTACACAACGGCCAACCAGAACCAGAAAGATTATCACAAACTTGCGAACAATGAGATTTGTAAACTTTTAGTTATCTTGAGACGAGGAGCTTTTGTGCACATGCGCTTGATATTTTGTCGCGCCTGCGCAAACTATGTTAGCCACGCTCTGTTCACGTGCTGCAGCATTGGCAGGCTCAAAAACAACAGCGTTAGAATTTCGTCAGTCATGCGCAATCATTATTTTAACGAGGTCCCTGGTTGTTATCAGTGGGTTATTGAAGTATCATGCGAATGTGTGCAAAGGTTCATTTCAGATTGAGAAAAATGTAAAGTTTACCACAGTTTCGTAGGTTCATGTGTTTGATCAGATCAGAGTTTCAAAGTTTTTTTGTATGAATACTTAAATTCAAGATTGCGATTGTCATACGATGTAAATATTAAATCAACAGATAAGTGTTGAATAAATTTTATGTAATTTTGACAAATATTAACTTTGTGGTCAGAATTGACGAGGTTGCTGGTTCAACCTCCCCAACCATGAGATTACAATTCCTTCGTCGAATTTTTAAGATGTTTTTTATGGACTTGACTTGGAGTGGTTTTTTTATTATTATTTGTTACTGTCGTTTGTAATAAAATGATTGCATTTCTATAAAAAAAAGTGTTGTTTTATGGGGGAAGGAAAATGAGTGGATATTAGTTTGAAACCCGGTTCACATTGCCTCGGATGAATTTTAAAGCAACTTTAAACACTTATGCAGATAAGTTCTCCATATTGAAAACAGATCTTAAAGAGAACGCTCACAAAATCGAAGAAATTTGAAGGCGCTGGCTTTGCCTTCAAGCGTGGAGAGAAAAAAATTTCCCAAACGGGGATTTCCGAGGTCGCGAAAGTAAATTCTCTTTGTATATCTTTGCTGGAATATTTATATCTCTTGATGGGGAAGAAATATATTTCTTTGGAAAACAGCGTCGAGCGTCTGTCTGTTCAGTAATAGATCTCAGATGACATCAAAATACGGTAAGAATACTTTTTGACATCTGTGAGATATTATAGTGTAGAACCGCGGCAATATGAATCGATTTTATTTATTGATAGGAAAGCAAAATGTTCTTAATGGTGACGTCAACCATGCGTCTGGCCTCTAATAGATGATAAGGAAGAACCAATCAAAATGACGAGTGTATATTGCAGCATATGCGAATATGAAAGCGATCTTTGTAGTAATGAACACTACTTGAGCAGTTATAGTGAAAATAAGGCCTGAAAAAAATTCAGGCATGTACGGGGTTTGAATTTTATTATCTTTTTTTTGTTTGTTTGTTTTTTCAGGCCTTCTTTTCGTTACTGCTCAAATAGCGTTTATTACTGCGAAGATCACTTTCATATCACGTCTTTATCCGCAGTTCACATATATGATTTTCATATATTCACAGTCATTTCAGCTTATCATATAATTAATTACCTGCCCTGTATGTGACTTATATACGGCTTAAAACATTCGAAGCTCCGTTTTTATACTCGGCTGAATCTATATATTGAATTAAAAATGGCTGGCCTTCCCGTCTTTGACAAAGTAGGTGGCTCATCTTTGTGAATCAGACCTTCAAAAAGAAAACATTTGAAGCTCCGCTAGGTGAGATCTATGTATTGAATAATACATGCCTTGAGTGCTCGTGACCTAAAATAGGTACCTGCAGTAGAAATTAATTCCAATTGATTGTATATATGAGTACAACAACAGCGCAAGTCTCGTGTTACATACGACAATTTGAATAAAACAGAGCGCCTTTTGCACCGCACACACGTTTACTGTAGTTGTCAAAAGAGAGAGTATCAGGTTCTTCCAGCTCTGCTTCTCAAGACATAGGTAAGATATGAGTGCTTTTACCATAGCTTTTTAGTGTTCTAAAGTCGTGTTGCCTTTTTAAATTTTTTTCCCACCGAGAGATTGCCAATGGCACGCATCACTGCATCGATGGGTCATATCATTGTAGGGCGCTGTACGTAGGTAGGGTACTGTTGTCTTCAAAGTGGCCTAACCTGCAGTGTACTTGAAGTAATGTTAGGATTTTAACATGGTAGAACATTTCTGAAATCAAAGGTTAAGCGGTCCCGTCCCGTCCGCTGTTTCCGAGTTAAATTTGGTGTGTTTCGTCCCAAAGGTACCAGGATATACTAATTTGAATTACTCTTTTGATTCAGTTGATCGCACACTTGGATCCCCGCTTGCTAAACTTTGGAAAACTTTGTCTTAACAGTCTTAACAGGACGTGGAGGATTCATTCAATCATTCATTGAAATCATTCAATCTGTCGAGAAACAATTAATCGCGTACCTTCCTAGTTAGCAAGAGATATTTTATCGCGAAAATGATAATTTAATGAGCGAAGATTTTCTGTTTGCTGTTTGCCTGAGGTACTTGCTAATTCACCAATTGCCTTAAATTTGCATAATCAGTCATTTGTCTTCAGCCTGTATAAGTCTTCATTAGTGATTAAAACTCAAGTAAATAACCAGCGCTCGACATTGTGATCAAGCTATCAGAATAGTAAAAAAAATTGAAGTATTTGGAATAAATATAAGCTTATCAAAACCTGTGCAACTTGTATAAACAGTAATCGACACAATATGGCCACCTTACACGGGCAACAGTTGGAAGTTCCTCGCACCCTGAAATCGTTTGTGTATTCAGTTTTTGGCTTTCCAGTACAAACTTACTATCAACTCTATCATAATTTCCGCAAATAAAACTACCTGTAGTTAAAGAGATTGAAAGTAGCTAGCACGCAATAGAATTTTCTGGTTGAGCGCGCCGACTCGGAACCATGACAGATTACGGCGCGCTTTTTTCACTCGAAGAGGGTGCCTTGCGGTTTACAGGGCATAAATATTACGCGCGTGGAAAATTTTCGTTCTTTTCTCTGGCCTTAATCGTTTATTACCACGCTTGTCTCTCTCTACACGCACATCCTACTCATAGCCTACTCTAATATTCATTTAAATCGATGAATCTTATATTTTGAAAAGAGAGTCCCTTACTTTTTTCTGATTTTAAGTTCAATTGACTTGCAAAAATATTCTAGTGTAAACTGAATCATTTCAAGTATTGATATGTTTTCAGGAAGACGGCGCAATGCTGTTCATTACTTACGGATTTGTGCTGTTGTCAGCAACTGTCGGGGAAGTAAACGTCAAAGGTGTCGCAGGTAGATGTCTCTGCTTTTCTCATAATGATCTAAAATTATTAATTTCCTATTTCACTTATTGAATAACCAAAGGCCTTCAAGGTTTGTAACATGTACACTGAAGAATTTTTCATTAGTAAAGGAGTATACCGATCCCAATGTCAGAGCTTCCTTGCTTGCCAAGCGAGAGTGTTTTTGGGACCAGTCCGCATAAGCGCGCGCGTTAATCAGCACAATTTTAGGGAAGAACGTGATAGTCTAGTTCATTTTACTAACATGATTTTGTGAAATGTCGTAATAGCAAGGACGAATCCTGGGTAGAAAATAATTTGAAAGAAAGGAGTCTCATAATTAAAATAACGTGAGCGTCTATCAACGAAAATAAGCTAGCAAGCTTTGACGCCGACAATTTGACTGATAAAACGAAACTGCAGCAACTATAGTACTTACGCGTTTGCGTTATATATTCGTGCAGGATTTTAAACCTGTATCACTGACAGTTTGTCTGAGTTCCGTTTTGCCTTTCAGAAAAAGTGTTATTGACAGCTGTCTGTTATATCACTTCTAATTCCGCGCCCCCTCCCGGGACTGAAACACCAGTTAGAGGAGAAGTAATGATGACTCAACCGGTAAGGAGAACTGGTACCTAATGTCACGACACCGTTAACCAAGAGCCTTCGTTACCGTGACCAGTGGTCGACATTAAATACACTACTGACCAATCTAAGGAAATTTCTTAAATTCAATGTTTATTTTCTTAGCTTGTTGTCCAATTAACGCTTAGGGATTTTATTTTCAGCCGCTATTTTAGTGGGAGGTCTTTTGCATGAGACTCAGCACTGATCAGATGGGACATTATAAGTAATGAGGGGGGAGAGGGGAGGGAGGGGAGATCGATATCACCTAAAGCTATCGGAGCACAATTCTTACATGTTTCTTTTTGTTTGATGGTTCTCAAATTGTTCTTTGTCATTTTTGTTTCTTTTTTTGCAGCCATTGGGAATGGGTCCCACAACCATGCATATTCATATAAAAGGTCTTCCTCCCAACACAGTACATGGATTTCACATCCATGAATACGGAGACACATTTTCAGACGGTACGTTTGCCTGGTCTAATACTAATAAAATCGTGACCAACGTCTTGATAGCATGCGGAACGAGCCTCGTCTTTCCACGTTTTTCAGACGAGCGGAGGCAAGCGCAGGGCGAACACGAGACAAACGCGAGGGGAACGCGAGGTGAGCGTGAAGGGCGAGTCATGCACCAAAGGAGAAGGAGAAGCGCTCCTTAACGTGTGAGTTCTCCTCACTTTTACCGAGCGATTGCCTTCTCTCGTAAGACAAGACAAAATAAAAAACAAACAAACAAACACCTGTCCCAATCCTTGTCATGAAGACACTAAAAACAAAGGAAACTTCGACTAATCTTGTGATTTCATTTGGCTAAATTTGTTCGATCAAGGTAGCTGGATGATGGCTTCGTTCTGTTTTTTCGTTTTTATGGACCTCGCCTTCGTCCCAATCCACACTGAACGTAAAAATCGCCCATTTCCAAACATAAAGAATGAAGCATAAGTTCGGTTAATCACGCGCTCAAAGGCATTGATTATCACCAGACTAAGACTAACACTGATCGCTTTAAACTATCCTCCAGGGTGTCAAAGCACCGGAAGTCACTACAACCCGTTGCATATGACACACGGTGCGCCTCAAGATAAAATACGGTAAGCAACTGCTTGTCACACAATGTCGCACAATCGTTATATGACTGTTTATGTTTCTTTAATGTGACTAATACATATCGCTATGGCGTATCTTATTTGTTGCGTAGAGTAAACAATTAATTTCTGTTTATAGCCACTTTGGAGACTTGGGAAACGTGGTTGCGGATAAAGAGGGAGTCGTCAATGCTGTGCTTGTTGATCCTCGGGTGTCCTTGTTTGGGCCCTTCTCAGTTGTTGGAAGAGCGTTTGTGGTGAGCTGAATTTAGAAAACATATTGTAAATAATTTCCGAAGAAGAGACGCATTCAGCTCGCGTCGGCAGTTCGTTCATCAACATCGCTATGAAATTATTTTGTCGCCATTAATGTAATCATCATCATTATCATTATCAGATCTTTTTCTTTAATAAATATTCCGACTGCATAGAAAATTCATTGAGACTGCAGAACGTTCATTTCTCTGAGAGATTTGTTATGTTTCGTTCCCAGATCCATGAAAAGATAGATGACCTCGGTCAAGGGACTGGGCCACTTCAAGTTGAGAGTTTGAAAACCGGTAACGCGGGCGCTCGTTTGGGATGCGGCGTTATTCGACTTGCGCCCGTGAAAATAGGCCAACAAGATCCAGATGTCGAAACCTCATGATGACGCCGTCTGCTTGGCTAAGAAAAATCAAAGTTTTGTGGTCACCAGATTTTCGCGGTTAATGAAGATTGATTTCAGATTTTTAACGCTCTCTGGAAGTTAAAAGTAAAAATGGAATGAATATGGTTTATTATAGGTTTACAATGAGGTCTCGAGGCACTCAAGAATACCAAAAGAAAATAATGGTCTCATTCTTTTCTCTTGAGAACACATATAGTAATGGTATCAAAGCCTATTTCAATTTAGCTGGAATTAATGTTTGGAATTTTGGTCAACATTCTGTAGAAAAAAGCAATCATTTGTGCGACGGCACTTTCCCCGGAAAAATTGTCTTGAATGACTGAAGTAAATTGTTGTTTCACACTCGTCAATGCAGCATTTTAAGGAATTCTGCCAGCAAGCCTTGACTTCATCTATTAAGAAAAAAAAAACTTAAAAACTTAACGACTGCTAATTTCATTGTAGATTATGATATGGCTTGTCAACGAGCTCTGTTTTTAGGTTTATTTAGGGATCGGTCCTTATTTATCGCCTGAGGGGGGTGGGATTTGGAGGAGTTTGGTTTTGTTACAATAAAATTACCTGGACTACTGGTTCTGTAATGTTCTATTAACCTCCCCCACCCCCTCCCCTCTCATTTATAGTTGATTTGCTGTCAATTCTCTCTAGCCAGTTCCCCCTTTAAACTGTTCAGGCGACGAGTAATCCCCCCTCCATTCCCCCCTGAAAACCATGTAATCCCCTAAATCTCCCTCCCCCCCCTCCGTCACGGAAAGAACCTTACTTTACAAGCCTAAATGGTTTTTGTTAGATTTCCTCATCATTGATCTGTTTTTTTTTTTCCTATACCAGTTGATATAAATTGTTGTAATTTTAGAAATAAAAGCAATTTTAAAAATTGTTGATAGTTGATTAATAAAATACTCGACCCAGTTTCCTGGCTTGTATCCAGAAGAATCGAATCCTGTTTTCGATAATTACATACGTCACTTACGTATGAAACCCAGCTGAACAAAAGCGAAATTTCGACGCAGTTTCAGCGCTGCTCTTCAAGAGAAAAGTAAGACTAAAGTTTATTATTTTGCCTTCCAAACCTCTATCTCTAAATTATAAACGGACACTGGACGAAAAAATGGATTTACGTTTGTAGCAAATCTATAGCAAAACGGAAGCAAATACCACATTTGTACATATTTGCCTTAGTTTGCCAAAGAACAAAGATCGATTTTACACCACATTTGTTACCCGTAGCAAAGGTGGTAAATGCCACATTTGTTAAAGATTTCCACTCTTGTACAAAAGTATTGTGCAGCTATGAATTTTCGTTTCATTTGCCCACGGGGCAAATGCGGATGTAAATATGTTTATTTGATGCCTGTTTACACACGAGGCAAATTTATGAGCAGATCTTCTTTTTTGCGCCACGTTTGCTTCCGATGTAAAAACATGCAAACTTATGATTACCAGCAAGCTCACAAAACGCTGTAAATGTGCTCAAAAGCGTAATTTTGGAGTGTTTACTTGGATCAGCAAACATGATCAAACTCGTAGAATTGATGAGATTTGCATAGGCTGGTAATTGCTGGCAAATTCTTGGTATTGAGCAAGTTTGCTCCGTATGGCAAATATGATCAAATTCTTAGTATTGAATAAGTTTGCTCAGATAATAAAATGCTGACAAAATCAAAAGTTTGACCCAGTTTGCTTGGTATGGTAAATGTGAGCAAACTCTTGACCAAAAAAAGCATTGATCAACTTCGCTCTGTATAGCAAACATGATCAAATTCTCAGTACCGAATAAGTTTGCTGAGATAAGCAAATGAGAGCAAACATATAACTTTGCTTATAAGGGAGTGTCAACTTCCGCTTACTGGGGTTAACAGAATATTTAGAACCACTGTTATAAACAGTATAGATCTATATATTAGGTTTTAGAACTAACCAACCAATTACTTTTTAAATAGTTTATTTGTCTTTGTTCAATTGGACCACAAAAACATAACTTGACTTATAACTTCTGATATAAACAGCATTGATCTTTAAAGTAGGTTTGAGTAAGAAAGTAAATTGAGTATTTATGCATGCTATCATACCACATTATTTTGATCATTTAAATTTTTAACTGTAACAATAACTATGATGACATTCTCTGATATTTTCTAAATTACTTTCTACAAGTTCTATAAAATTGAAAAGTGGATAAAAATGTTTGAAAACTGCACTGAACAGTTACAAAAAAAGAAACCAAATGAGCTTTATGTAAATTTCTGCCACACATTTAAAGCATAAGTGCCTAAACCTCAACTAAATATTTTACAAATGATATTCCTGAAAACCACAAGATGCTTCAGTATTTGCCTTGTTGTAAGGAAACCACCATTTAAGCAAAGAACACTCTAAAGTTTCTAAAACTTGTTTTGACACGATTTTTTTCACCTCAGTGATGGATTGTTGATTGCAATATTCATATCAATACTACATTCTAGATACATGTCTAACATATATCGGAGCAGCTCGCTTCTCTCGCAGTCGAATACTGCAACATAAGCTGTTGACATTGGTGGATAGCGCGTGAAGGTGCCCCAAAAGGGTGAATGCGTTATTACAGACTGTCAACTACTTGTTACTTTTTTCAAGCGAATCTCGTTACCTTAGGCGTTTTGAGGTTAATACATCCATTACAGACCATGCTTTTGAGTGTCCTCAGTTCTTCTCAAACACCTTGTTACGGAGAACTATATTACCCTTTGGGATAAACTGTATTTACGCATTTTGGAAGGCTTTGTTCAAAGATAAGATGTCAGTTGACGATGCAACATACTGGTACACTTGGTAGTATAATTCAATTTCTTTGCGCAATCCGTTTGGTTTGATTTAGCTAGTAAGTTGGAGAGGCTTGTTAAAACTGTGCTTCGATCACAAGGGAATACTTTTAAATACAGCAGTAGTAGAATCATTTATTCAATGTGCCAATGCATCCTTACGTTACCTCTTCTCTTCCGCGACAAGTTTGATCTAAACTTGTCGTCTCTGGCTTTTTATCGAATGAACAACTCGACTTGAAGCTATACAATTGTTGAAGAACCTAAATATTTGAGGAGTTAAAAAAATATCTAAATCCTGCATGGCTAAACACTAATATCAAGCAAGGTCACTGCATTTGATCCGAGACAACTGAAAAAACTTGCCACGTGCCACGTAGCACGTACACGAACCGTGTTGACATTTTTTTAGACTTTCTTAATTTATCTTTAATATTCCCTTGGGATATTAAAGCAACACCCTGAGGACCCGGAGGGGTGGGGGGAGGAAGGGGCTCTCCTTGGTTGACGAGGAGGGCATTGGGTCTAATAGAAACCGCAAAACCGAAAATAATCCCAATGCCCCCCTCGTTGACCTTAGCGGTGTGTGGTGCCAAAAAACATCGCCTGCAAGTGTGGATTAGTAATTGCTGTTGCTTATTTTCGTCTCTTTCTTTTTATTGTACAATGAGGCAAGGGATGTAGCATTCGACTTGGCAAAATAAGTGTACGTTTAGGTCGTGGGGGAAGGGAGGTGTTATGAGCGCCTGGCAAGGGTAAAAACTCGTGATCATTATGTAAAGTGTGGCATGAAAACATTCTCTTTATGTGTCATTTCTGATGAACAAAGGATCCTCAAAAACGAAAAACAATACGCTGAAGGGAAACAGCTTAACAAAGGGGGGAGGGGGGGAGGTGATAAGCGCCTGGCAAGGGTAAAAACTCGTGATCAGTATGGAAGGCATGACATGGAAACCTGCTCTTTGCTTTTTGTGTCACTTCTGTAACGGCTGCCGCGCCTTTGCCACCGGACACTGATTCGCTATAAGTTTGTTTCGTGTTAAACGTGTTAAACCGCAATAGTGACGTTACTGTTTGTCCATGAGGGACGTGATCTTTAAGTTCCACCCAGAACCGCATTCTAGTTAGTTGTCTTGCTTTGAGCTAACGATAAGACGTGTTTATAAAAAAGCGCCCTTTTGCCTACCTTATCTTGAAGTTCTTTTTGGTCAAACTCTTACAAGCGGGACTGTTATGTAAGTGCTTATGTCCCTTTTCTTTGTGCTTGACTGAACATCTAGTCTTTCAGTAGTTTCGCCCAGTTTTTACACCAGTTTCTTTATCACTTGTTCTCGTAACCTTGTAACAGGTGGCTTACGTTGTTCACGCTTTGTTAGAAAGCCGCTCGTTTTTCCTACTCGGTTATTAGTTTTGTTAGAATTCGTTTTCAAGCGGTTCTCCTTTATCCTTTGAAGTTAGTCTTTTTGTGAGTTTGTTTTAGAGTTTTAGCTAGTCTTTTTGGATCTTGCCTTTATATCGGAATGATTGGAATGTTGGTTCATGTATTAGAATTTAGCTTAGCTTCTTCCTTATAATTTCATATTTCAGTTTATAATAAGTACTTGGATACCTCGACTACGCTAATAAAACGATTTAAGTCTTTTCCGTAAAATATATCCTCGCTTGATAGTGTGTCTTCATTTGCGAAACTCATAGTTGTCGTTGAAAATTTGCTTCGCTTGTATCAGCCGCTACACTTCTGATAAACAAAGGATCCTCAAAAACGAAAAAACGAAAAACAATAAGCTGAAGGGAAACAGCTTAACAAGGAGGGGGGGGGGTGGTGATAAGCGCCTGGCAAGGGTAAAAACTCGTGATCAGTGTGGAAGGCGTGACATAGAAACATGTTCTTTATGTGTCACTTCTGATGATCGCTCAGAATCTTCCATCAGTCGATGTCGTCGTGGACTCTTCCGGTACTGAAGCTAATTTTAAAAATTTACGAATGAGGCAGAACAAAGGATCCTCAAAAACGAAAAACAATAAGCTGAAGGGAAACAGCTTGACAAAGAAGAGCACGCTTGTTTGCTGCTGTTGTTCTTACTGATAGGGACTTTAAGCAGTCAGCAACGCTAAGGAAGGGGTCGATTTAATTTATACTTTTAGTTAGAATTTCGCTAATAGCTGGATGTGTTAGCCGTCTCTTACGGTGCTACACCTTAACTTAAGCATAATGTATGGGAGCCGCGTCGAGTCTCAAATGGAAACTTGAATAATTTTCCATCGGGGTTCCTTTTCCCTGATCGAGGAAATTTTGGTGATTTCACGTTGTTGTTTTGCAGAGGACGGCTGAGAAATGTACACAGTTTTAAACCGCACGTGCTGAGCTATTGTTTTGCCCAGGGTTCTAGAAATTACAAGTTTTTACAGACAAACAAGAAGTAAGGAAGAAAATATAACTCAAAACAAAGCAGGAATAGAGAAGGGAATGGCATTGTTTAGACTGATTACACTCTTTTTTTTTTACGAGAACGTCTACTTTTGGGGGCGAGACTGAACTTTTTTTAAAATTATTTTTTTCGCGATCTAAGCCTGAAAATCTTCTCTACCTCCCATGAGTGACCAAAAGAGAATTTCTCCTTACAATATCGATACAATATCAAGCACAGAAGTGATGAGAATAAAGTAAAGTATCAATTAGTGGATTATTAGTTGCTCCAATACCAAATTCTCCAAACTAACATCATAAGAACTGTATGGCAGACAGTAAGGAGAATTACTAATGAGATCTGGGGAGTTACAAGGTTAAAGTTCAGTTTATCGAACTATGAGGAAACCACGTTTTTAACGGTAAAAAATTTCACTCAGTATTTGAGTTTTATATTTCTTTTACTTTTATTTATACTGTTCTCGCCAGAAAAAAAGCAAATTAAAGACAAACTAAACTGACTCTCAGCCTGGGTATGCTGATAGCCTATTCCTAAAATTTTCTTAAAATTTTGTGTTAATCTCAGCCTGAACATTTTTATAGAAAAGATTCTTATGATAAAAAGGAGTGTAGTGCCGTTTTTTAAATGAGAACCTTATCGCACGTTGAGACAACGCAGTGAAATGGGCATTTAAAAGAGGCCGTCATTCATTATTTCCAAAATCTTTGTAGATCCAATCAAATACATGATGCTTCTCTTCGCCTGTGGATTGGTGATGCTGGCGACAGCTGCCTCACGTGAAGCCGTTTCGAGGGAAACCCCTGAAGGTACTATCAGTTAATTTGTTTGATAGTTTAAACCAAAGTTACTTGCGTGACCTGTCACTTTTGCGGCATAAATAAAAGATGGAAGAAAGGAGAAAACATTAAAAAAAATCGTTTCCTATTTTTCTACTTTTCAGGTGAACTTGTTGTAAAAGCCATGAGCTTTATCATCCCGAATACCCAGCCCCCTTCCGGCGTTGTGACTAAAGTCGCGGGAATAGTCAGGATGATGCAGCCGGTAAGGTGAACTAGTGGCGAACATTAGATTTCATCGATGTATCGAGTAATGGTTCGTAGAAATTCAAAACAAACATACGGAGAATTTCTAATGCAACGTTCTTACTGTTCACGTACTTTGCTCTAACCGCTGGCGAACGTGCGGGGATGTCTTGTTGCTGTATATTTCCCGCGCTTCATTCCACAAGCTCGAGTAAGTACATGTGGGAAGAAAGACAATTTTCGTACTTTGCACCAATCTTGTCTCGAGAGTCACTCGTTTTCCCTCGGCTGACCACTTGACCAAAAGGAGCGAGGGGTCTTGGAACGAGAATGTCCGAGCGCTAACGAAGTATGCGTCTCTCCCCAGTCTCTTCCTCTGTCTTTTTTTTTTCCAAGCGCTCTAGACCTTTGACCCTGCAACATAAAAACAAAGCAAAGCAGAAAAAACAAGCCAAATAAAAAAACACAAACAAAAACGAAGGAAACAAGTGATAGCGAAAGTCATAGTGTTTAGCTAAAGGACAGCAAATACATTTTTATTTCGAGGTGTATTAATCACTATGAGAGGGTCTCAATGTGTGGTGGTTTTTATGGCCAACGGTTAAAATTTTGGCTATTTTACAGCTAACGTCAATATTATTCCATTGTTGTCACCATAACCTATTTTGCGGCTAACTTTTTTTACGACTATCAGTTAAAATTTGTCAATTTTTACGCCTAACAGCTAAATTTTCCGGCGGTTTTACGACTAACGGTTAATGCCCTTGATAACCTCTCATACGTGTTATTAATCTAGTTATTCATTTATTTATATATATAAATGTTTATTTATCAATTTATTACAGAAATCTGGTGGCGAAACTACCATGACTGTTAACTTACTAAATCTTCCTCCAAACACACCTCACGGCTTCCATATTCACGAGTTTGGAGATACTTTTTCACAGGGTAAGCTTGTAACTGTTTTATTTCTAAAAGTGATCAATTTTTAGCTTTATATCAATCCAGCAAACAAATGATGAGATAAGAAACATTTATTAGCTCTAGATTGGTATGTTGATGTAACTACAAATTATCTTATGGAAGTGTGTAGCTGCCTAAAGGCAGCATTATGTATCAGATAGCGTTACTTCAGTAAGATGGTGGTATGCAACACAATGTACACAGCTTTCGTATCAGCACATGTCAGCTTCGGTGTAGCGCCATTCGAGCTTACTGCACGAAGAGTCTTTATTTTCTGCGCTTGTGCGAACGTTGAAAGCATTAGCCGGACAATTAATGAATTAAGCTACGCCTTCAACTTCAACTTTCAACTCGTAGATTTCCATGCACCTGTCAGCGCTCGGCAAATTATTCCATGTGTGCGTGCGTGACGTTTAACCGCTGTGCAATGTAAGGCGCAATATCGTTCCGAGAGTCTCTATAACCCTTTTCTTAGGGAGCAGGCACTTGTCAAAGGAATTAGGACTCTGGGATCGAGATTGGACGAGGGTGCACGACAGAGCTTGAAAATGAGAAATATCGATGTATATATCGAAATAGATTGAAAATGAGAAATATCGATGAATATTTTTCAGGGTGCCAGAGTACTGGTAGTCATTACAATCCGTTCAATATGACCCACGGAGGACCGCTGGACAAGAAACGGTAACCCTACGGCCATGCAATGTCACGTTAAGTCACTTCCGTTGGACTGTAAGAGTTGAAAGTGAAATGAGCAGATTTGAGTTTCTGCTCTGTAGCTGTAAAATTAGACGTAGTATTATGCACTTATGGACTGAGTGGGAGGGCCGCACGAGAAAATATTTGCCTCCAGGTCATGGCCCGCCCTTATTTCATGACTGAGATTCAATTATTTTACCTGTCCGGCTTGACCTAGGCACAGTTAATGAGCATATTATTGTATAGATGTAGCTGTCTTTCGTTCTTTCTCTCTTCTTTAAGCCTGTATCTCGTCAGGCCGTACGTCTTTCCCGACGCTATCGCATACGGCACTTCCACAAGGAATGTTCAATTTTTCTCGATAAAAACGTGCGAGGTAGGAGGGGGTGGGGGGCGCACGGGACAGATAAAAAACTGAATGACTTCTATCGTTTTCAGTCATGTTGGTGACCTAGGAAACGTGTACTCAGATGAGAGGGGAATGATCAGTACGAAGATTGTTGACCACCTAGTGTCTCTCGTAGGGGAGTACTCTGTCCTGGGAAGATCTTTTGTGGTAAGCTGGAGTAACCTGCTCACTCAGTTATACGGCACGTCGTGGTTCGAATATTTTCCCGCCTGTTCTTGGTGTCCATTCCTTGGACACGAGCGAAGGAGCTGGCAAGCGACAGATGGCTGTTGTGGTTGTTATGGAAACGTTGGGTAACCTCCCCTCCTTCACTCGTTTCTAGGAACAGCCTGGAACGGGTTTAATGCTTTGCGGCTCAAGTGCAGCGCTTGCCCAGGCGGTGCTCATTGCAAAAAGAATGAGCCACAGCTTTGGGGGCTACTTCTGTTACTTTTGTTCTACCTTGGTTATCTTTTATTTATATTCCCTGTATATTCGATGAGTTCTGTGATGCGCCGCTCTCTTGCGGGTTGCACGAAATCGCTGACGGCGTTTAATCTAGTAAATACAGCGAACAGCTTTTGAGGTTTCGTCTTCCCGAGCAGACGAGAAAACTGGTTTAGCGCAAATTTTTCAATTTTCGAAGATCTCCGCATTCATGTGTGGTGTGCCCAGTATAAAAGAATGTTGATACCTGGGGAGAGTGGGACCCATACCCCTCCGCATTACTAGTGGTGGATGCTTTGCCATCGACCTTCGGAGAGCCTGTACCGAGAAAGCTCATGTACTCTGTATTTGGTTCATATTTCAATCATCCTTCACCAAGCTAAGATAAGTAGTTTCAAAAGCGCCATGTGGAACGCGCGAAAGTTTTTAAGGTGGGCGATTTCCAGTTCGTAACTAAAAACATGTTTTTTTTTTGTTCTTTTTGTGAACAGATTCATCAGAAAATCGATGATCTGGGTCGAGGTACTGGGCCAGCTAGAAATGAGAGCTTAAAAACTGGAAATGCAGGTCCGCGATTGGCATGCGGTGTTATCTTCTACATGCCTACCAACTAAGTAAAGTAAAGATTCACCGTCTTGTGATACCATACCGGCTCTCGACAAGTTAAAGTAATTCTGTTGTTAAGAGATTAAATTTATTTTAGTTCATGATCACAAACGAGTGGAATTAAAAGCGGTAATAAATTTTCGTGATTGCAATATTTTTGATAACTAATATAGTAAAATCAGTCACTGACAACGAGGGAGTTTCCTTTTCTCTTAAAGTTATCACACGTACGCCCACGTCTGAAAAAGGATAACCTCGACAAGGAGATTCTTAAGAACTACAGACCTGTTGCTAATATTCCGTTCCTTAGCAAAGTGACCGAAAATGTTGTCGCCACACAAACGCACAACTACGTAGAAGCTTACAATTTGATGCCAACTATGCATTCTGCATATAGGAAACACCACTCTACGGAAACGACCTTGCTACGTGTGACAAACGGTATTCTTTGAACGATTGACCGTCGCCAAGATGTTGTATTAGTACTACTTGATTTATCAGCGGCCTTTGACACTATTGATCATACAATCTCGGTGGAAAGACTCAAGTTTTACTTTGGTTTCTCAAAACTGACTCTATGTTAGTTCAGATCTTACCTTGAAAACCGTCGGCAATCAATAGTCGTTGGAGATCAAGTGTCTACTCGTTGCGCTCTGCGTCATGGTGCCCCACAAGGGTCTATACGTGTACCATTGCTTTTCACCCTGTATATCGCCCCTCTTCAAGATGCAATTGCTCGCCATAACTTGAATTGTTTTATGCAGATGACACTCAACTATATATAGCTATTGATCCTGCAAATCAGGTCTATCTCTGACTACCCTGCGAAGTTGTATAGAGGATGTAATACGATGGAACACGCAAAACATACTGAAAAGTAATGCTGACGGAGGTTATACTACTTACATCCAGGTTCACTAAGACACCTAATATCGAGAAGCTCTCTTTTGCCAATGCCGTCATTGAACGAACTGAGAGAGTTTGTGATCATGGTGTTAATTTAGATAAAAGCCTATCACTGACACACCACATAAACGAGACGTGTAGGAAAGCAGCTAACACCATCAGGTACATAGGTCGATCGCATTCGCAAATAAATCACCAAGGAAAAACTCAAACTGTTAGTTAATGCATTAGTAATATCACGTCTAGACTACCGTAACAGTATCCTTTATGATCTCCCAAAACAGGAACTGGATAGACCGCAAAGAATTCAAAACACTGCTCACTGGAACTAAACGATACAAGCACATCAAACCTACCCTTCGAGAACTACACTGGCTACCTGTTGAGTCACGAATTATATTCAAAGTTCTGCTCATCACTTTCAAGATTATTCATGGACTTTGTCCAGCCTACTTCGTCGTCCCTCCTTGTTACATTCGTCAACAGCCACAATTAACCCTAAGCGTGAATGTGGCTTACGTGTTCCTTCCTACAACAATACCACCCGCAGCGAAGCCTGCGCTTATCCTCTGAACTACTTTTTACTATCCCTACTGTGAACTCTGTGACATACGGTGAACGTGTCTTTTCTTTGTCTGTACCTATATTATAGAACGAACAGTCTAGCGGATTCTGTTAAAAATACAACATCTCTTTCATCTTTTAAATCTGCCCTCAAAACATTCTTGTTTCAGAAATGTTATTTTTGACTTATTCTATGAGGAACTATACCTAGCTTTCATGTCACCTGATTCCTAATTAATTATTTCATTTATTTTATTTATTACTGCTATAAGAAACATTTTGTAGGTTTTAACTAATTTATTTTTTCTGTATAGTTATGTGGGCGCATTGAGTTTTCTAAATGCGCCCAAAAAACTTTATTACTATTATTATCATTATTATTATAGACAGGAAAAGACAGGAAAAGGGGCTGTGAATATATCCTAATTTAGAGAAATGAAATATCAGTTTTTATTTTTTTTTTTGAGAGGGCACGGTAACGAATCTTGCAATCTGATTGGTTCCTTACCTGGTCAGTATTTTCCTATCTCTGCCCACGGGCCACGGTAACGCTTTCATGAGTCGCCAAGTGCATCCCAACTTTCGTTGCCATTTTTCATAAATATATCTCGTTTTTCCGGCTGGGCAGTATTTTTAAGCAAACACGTCGGTCACTACTTCAAGCCGATGAATAACTTATGAATCCTCTCTTTTCTCTCTCTCAAATCACTTTGGTTGACAGAAAAATATTGGTTTCAGAGTGAATTTGTACATACAACAGTGTCATTACGTTGGTTGACAAGCGGCGTAAAACCCGTCTGCAATTAATTTTAATCGTTCACAAAAAGTACCTAGAAAGTTAAAACGTGAGGTATTGGTTACAGTTAAACTGAAAGATGGAACTTTCATTTATTTAATACCTGAATTTTCTCAAACAATTTGTTCGCAGTGAAAGAGCGAGCGAAGTTATAATTTAAGTTCTACAACAAATATACGCTCTCGGTGAGTCTTTCCAAGTCCGTTCAATCTGAACATTTGTACTGTAAATTGCACAACAGAAACTGAAGGAATTTTTTGAGAAAAGGCCGCATTAAATCCCCTCGTGTCTCGTTGGAGTGTGCTATTCGAATTTAGTTTTTGTGAAGGAAAGACCAGATTTACACACGCTATTGCAGCAAACTCTCACAACTTCAAAATAAAAAAATTGAATTTACTCACAATTACTTTCCTCGCCGTCTACTTAATGAACAGAGATAAATCTTCGTACATGAATCAATCGTCGATGAGAGTGAATAATACTATCCGTTAGATCATTGACTGTTTTTGAAGAAAACATTGTCGTGGCAGACCTCGCCAAACTAGTTCCGTTGTTTTTCAAATGTTCTTACGCTTTTTTTTACTTGCGCACTCTCTAATTGACAGGTCAGATTGTGACAGATACTTGTAAAAATAATGTTTCAAGGTTTGTTTGGAAGCCTTTTAAATTATCGTTACGGAAATGAAAATGTTTCGCTGAGGCGTCTCTCTTGAATTTGCATCATCTCTATTTTAACTACCATTTACTCGCCCAAAAACTGTTCAGTTTATGGAAGATCTTGCCGTATTTACAGCTCTAAATCGTTCAGGTTCTTTCGGAAAGAATTCCGTCAAGTTTCAAAAAAATAAATATGTTATTTGCCGGCTGGGAGGTCCGTATGGTGAAAAACTGTGACCTCGGTCTTGAAAAGCATTTTCAAGACCGAGGTCACAGTTTTTCACCATACGGACCTCCCAGCCGGAAAATAACATATATTTCCTTTATTTTATTCAGGAAAATAAAATTGTTTAAAGTTCTTTCAAATCTCATTATTGTAGCAGCTTGCATCGAACAGTTCGAGATCTGGAAGATTCTCTACACCTTAGATGCAATCTCCAAGTTTCCAAATATATTCATTCTACGGAAATTTTCACTAATTTTCGACAATTTGAAAAAAAACTGTTTATCTTGTAAATATTTTGATAAACAAAATAGCTCACTACATCGATAATTTGTTTCTGATCATGCCACGAATCGTATCGGCTTTCGGGTACGTTTTTGGGTAGAATATTGTCTTTCAGTCTTAACAGAAAAGCAACACAGCAATTTCAGTATTCTTGGTACACTACCAGCAGGCGTTTCAGCGGGTAGAATCGGCTTCAAGGAAACGTAATTCATGACGTACTTGTTTCAGACATGACCTCCGCAATGTGTAAATTTTAATTTTGAAATGGCTTAATCAAAATGCCTGTTTTTCCAAAATTTGGAATCCTCTGAGGCAGGACTTCGATTCCTTAGATGACAGGCGAAATTTTAGCGATTTGCAAGATTATGGCAAGGTCGCTTTGAACTTCTAGACAAAATTAGCTCCAATGACCTGTATGAGAAATATTCTTCTAATAAACGTCTACCGTCATAGGCATTTGAATTTAACCTGAAAAAATTTAACTGTAACCGTTGTCACAGCTACCCCTTCGAGACTGAGACTCTCCTCACTAACTCAAAAGAGCTATTCCTGAATTCGTAAAATCATTTTCTTATCCCAAAGGCTTGGGACAAACAGTCAATGGTGTTTATTTATTCGACTAGCGTGTTCAAATCTTATTATCCTAACATCAAGGGCAGAAAGCTTTCAGCAATGATATTGCTGGATTATGCAGTTAGTCAGAAACGTGTTATATACAAATTTAGATTATGACGGAACAAGCCAATAAGCTATCTCTAGCTGAGGAGGAAGAGCTGCTGGCGGCGAAATCGGAACGAATCCGAAGGAGATTCAAATCGTTCTTTATTTATTTACTCATTTATTTCATTTCTTTTTTTATGGAGGGGTTCAAGCTAAAAATCAAAAAAAATATTTTTCGTCGTCTCCTGTAGTAGCCTTTGACTGATTTAGGAACGAGACTCTTCTTGTATTTGATCAAGAGGAACACTTGAGTGGTTACGTCTGGTGAGCCTAACGACTAATCGTGTCGCCTCTGCAGACAGTGAAAACAGACGAAAAGTGCTGGTATATTTTTAGATTTAGCTTATTGACTCTCAGACTGGAGAGATGTCATCAAGGGAATCTTTTGTTTGATTGAGTAAGCATTACAAATTTAATGAATCCTTTATTGAAGGAGCCTCTAGAGAGCCACTTCTGAAGGGGAATGAAAAGTGACTTCATTTGCGTTTTACATGTTGAAAGCATGTGTCTATTTCAGGTCAGGTCCTTGGGGAACCCCGCAATGACGTAAACTTGTTCCGATATGTGTTGGTGACCCTGTGTTGTCAACGTTTAGTCTCCAAAGTACGAACTGAGGAGAGGAGGTCTTTTACATTCTCAAGGCATCTTGAAAGACTGTCACAATGAGCTTTTCAAGCTTTCAAAGATAGCACGAGCAAGTTCTCGTTCACTCTTGTTAGCTTGTGTATTGGAAACAATTATAAATATTGCAAACTAAGTCGAATATCTAATAACGTATGTGGTTATTGTTCATCGTTGAGTAAGACAGGAGATGAATTTTATTCCTTTGTCTCACGATTAACATCCAAAGTGACTCCATGATGAGACAATCGAATAAAGTTCATCTCCTATCGTAAGTCGAATATCGCTGACAAAACTTGTTGTGGGAAGGCTTTGTTACGTTGTGTCTCGCGATATAGGTTTTATTCAAGACCTGAGTTCTACTTCCTCAAATGTCCCCGTCATCGTTCTTGACAGCAGATGTAATTTTGGCGATTTTGAGCCTTCAAAGGGTGATATTAATAAATTGAATTAATTACCCTTGAAAGTACATAAGAAAGGCGCGGAATATTTTTCAGTTTTGTAGAAAATGACAAATGTCAATATCTATAGAAACCACCAACCAGGAAATTGTCCACTATTGTGATTGATAGATGAGTTGAGTTACCCTTTCACCCCAAGATCTCATAGATAATTCTCCTTACTGTCTGTCATACAACTCTTGTGATGTTAGTTCGGAGACTTTGGTAATGGATCTACTCATAATCTCCTAATTGATATTTTGCTTTATTCTCTTCACTTGTCTGCTTGATATTGTATTGATATTGTAAGGAGAAAGTCTGTCTATATCACTGGCTCTTGGGAGGTGAGGGGTTAACAGGTTAGAGAGCAGAACACGTTCCCTACGCGGAAACTAGCCACCTTCAAATACCTGCTATTTATTGCCATTTAGACACACGAGAAGTCACACGAACAACTAGAGAACAGGCCACACAGACAGTTGAATTGACACGGACGTTTTCCAGTTAAGCTCTGAAGTTCACCTCGCAGGTAAGACCTGATTCCTTTTCTTAGATTTTAGAGTTAGACGGCTACAAAAAAAAGTGTTTGCAGTCGTAGGTGAAATTTTTTGATACATGTCTGAGGTGGATCGTGCCGTTTAGCAACGCCAAAATCTCTTTTCTGGCCAGATTTTCTCTGAAAGAATCGGAATTTTAATCTTTCCGACGTTTGTTAAAAGAAGAAGCAAAAAGAGGCTCCGGAATTGTTGAACAACGATTTTTAGAATGTATGCAGAGGTGCTCACACAACTGTTGATAAGAACATCAACTAGCTTGCATGTTTGAGTTTAAGATAAACAGTTTAGAAAAAACTCCCGAAAGGTTGTGCTTCACGTTACATATTTAATTCACCCCGCGAACAATTCTACCGGGATTAATGGAGGCGGAATCGAATCTAATGTTGTACTGAGACAATATTTCTATACTAGGATAAATATTTTTATGCCGGAGTAAACAATTTTCGACTTGAATATATAACTTTGTACTGGGATAATTACTTTTGTATCACACACGCGGGCCATAGTAGGAATTATTTGACCTGATTCGTGATCCGTGCCTTTTTGTAGCCAAGTATTTATGATTTATTGACATGTTTTTTCCGATACTCGTGACGTATTTAAACAGTAACTCGTATTTCATTATTCCTAATTTAAGGCACGAAAATTCATAATTTCTTTTCATTCGAGTTCTATGATTCGTCATTCTAGTATGATTCCCCAACATAAGTATAGTGGAATTCCTTCAAACTAACTCTTAGCAGTGGCTTACCATTTACTCATTATAACATACATACAGTGAACATGGATACTTCCTCGAGTAAGATACAAACAGCCACTTTTATTTCGTTACCATATTTAACAACTATTTAACGAATTATCCAAAACTAGCCACCGACATTGAGGTAAATAGTTGTTTTGGTATATACTAAAACAATGAGATAACATAGCTCAAAAAGATGATTTTAACTCGTTCATCTCTGCAACAATTACAATATTTATTTTTAGGTGAATGGCAAAGGATATTCGGTGTTTGAGTTGACAATCAGAGCGCGCCTTCGACGCTATCTACTGATTTAGTATTTACAAAGCAGGTTTAGGGAAAGATTTTATGTTAAAGAAAAGAAAATTATTTGAAATGCGCTTAAATTTTGTAATTCGAGACGTTTTGAAGACATCTTTAAAAATATCACTCATACGCAAAAATCACGGAATGCACTCGCCTTCCTGCACTTTCCCATGCATCTTGGTAAAGTAACGTAACTGACATTTACGAACTTCTAAAATCCGTAGGAAGAATGGTTCTGATTTTTACTTGGGCACTGAGCGTTGTGGCAACGGTAGCTGCTGACCACGTTTACGGATGTTATCCTGGTAAGTAAACTGAATAATTATGTTAGTAGGTCGATCCGTAAGCTATTACGATAGTTCTTAGGTGAACCAGTCAGAGAGTTGGTCGATATGCCGTCAGTCAGTCTTACGATCGGTCAATGACTCAGTCAGTTGGCTAGTTGGTGAGTCAATCTGACTGTCCGTTAGTGAGTCAGTCAACCTTTTCAATCGGTTTATGGTCGAGTCAGGTCATTCAGTCTGTGAGTTAGTCCGTCTTTTCGATAAATGAACAAATGAACTAAGTTTCTAAAGAAACTGTGGCGCTTCGTCGGTGGGAGAGTACAAAAGTGCAATTTAGTATTATCAACTGAGTTGATAACGTAAATTAGCTACCGTAAAGAGTTTCAAAGCTGACGTTTCGAGCGTTAGCCGTTCGCCAATCGCTCTGACAAAGGGCTAACGCTCGGAACGTCAGCTTTAAAACTCTTTACGGTGGCCAGTTTACGTTATCAACCCAGTTGATAATACTAAATACCCTGTTAGTCTTTTTGACAGTCAGTCAGTCAGTCGTCAGTCTTCCTGTCCGGCTGTCAGTCAGTCAATCAGTAAAAGGAAAGCGACAAATCCTCCTTACAACACTTCATCGAAGAAAACAATTTCAATGGTATTACAATTTCTAAAGTTTTCATTCCTTCTCGTTTAGGTGCAGATATAGTAAAAGCTATGAGTTTTATCGCTCCTAATTCCCAGCCACCTCCCGGCACCAAGACTCCAGTGAGAGGAACAGTCAAACTGACACAACCGGTAAGGTGAACTGGTGACGAGTATCTTATCACGCTGTCTTGACAACCGTCTTTTAGGGTAATACGTGTTTCCTAAACCAATCACAGAGCAGAGATCACGGATTACTTTTTGGACCCGTTGAAAATTTTTGCATTGTTTTTTTCTTTCTGCAGCGGTATGGAGGCTTAACATGCATAGAAATAAATATATCAGGTCTTGGCCCTAACACCACACACGGCTTTCATGTTCACGAGTACGGAGATACTTTAACGGAAGGTATGTTGTGATAACAATGGGAAGACAACTTTCAGTTTCAAAACAACCAGTTTATTTCATACGGCTAAAATCATGCACGGGGTTACACATAAGATCCGGTAAATTAGCCACCGTAGGTGTGCGCCCCACGTAAATCAAGTCACGCCTCGAATTACAGATAATCAGTTCCTATCTTAACACAAACAGCACATTAAAGTACTTTTAAAAGTAAAGTTGACATAAAATAAAAAATTTACAGAACAATCTCCGAAATTTTTTCAAATTTTAGTTCTTGTCAAGGTATTTTTTTGGGTCAACATAAAAACAGTTTTCGTTTCAATTTTGACAAGCGATCAAGTGAGAACGAATAAGAAACAATGAAGGGAAATATAAGAACAGACTGACAAATGAAGTTCAAAGACTTCGAAAAATCAACGGCAATCGTCGTCGGAAAACATCGGCATGTATCGGCATGTGTCGTGAGACACTTGTCTGACCCGACATGTTAACTATGGTTGAAAGTGACATGTACGTTGTTATCTTGATCAAAGATTTAATCATATAATCAAGACGACAATTTTTCTTAGGATGCCAGAGCACGGGAGGCCATTACAACCCGTTCAATCTTTGCCATGGAGCACCTCAAGACCAATTTCGGTAAGCGAAACGCCAGTGTTTATCGCCTGGAGGATGGCGGAAGGGGGGGGCATCAGGGGGATTGTGGGGGGGGGGGGGCAGGGCAAAGGATTTTGATCATGTTTCGATAAAATTTGCCTGATCCCACATTCAGGCTCTGTAATATTCATGCTGTCTCTTTAAGCTTTGCCAGACAATATACAAGGACTTTATATTGGAAAGTAAGGTATTTTTGTTTCTCATCTGCAGCCATGTTGGAGATTTGGGTAACCTTGTTGCGGATGCAAGTGGAACTATCAAAGCAAAGTTTTCCGATCATCTTATTTCTGTTGTCGGACCCTTATCAGTATTAGGGCGAGCATTTGTGGTAAGGTGACTGCTTCTCGATCGAGAATCGTAGAACCAAAACGACAATAAACGGAATGATCAATCAGAACGGGGGTAATTGTCACATGGAACCAATGAGATTTTCGTATAAAAACAGTCAAATTAAAAGCTTGAAGCGTAGGAAAACGCAGACGAGCAGGTCGCGATTGGCTCTAGCTCTTCAATTTTATTGGTTGAGAAGATGGCAGACATTTTTTTTCATGAAAAGGGCGGAGCTGAAAAAACGGGCAGCTGACGTCCGAGCGGAGAAACCATTATTTCCCGTCCCAAGCTTCGCGCGACTACCTTGTTTTTTGCGGTTCCGATGCTTAAACTCTTAAAGCTCGCACAAAACTGCCAATTACGCAGGATAGCAAACTCGTTCCTCAGGAGAACAAAACCGTGCACTGTCCAGTGTTGGTTAAAGATCAGGACACTTTTTATATGCTACGCCCTAAACGGTTTGCACCTTTAACTATTTTAATTCCCCTTGTTCACAGATTCATCAGAGACCTGACGACCTCGGACGAGGGGTTGGTGCAGCCAGACGCGAGAGCCTGATAACTGGTAACGCAGGTGCTCGTTTGGGATGCGGTGTTATCTTTCTCACGCCAACAATGAGCCGGGATTTAAACTAGGACAATTTCGGTTTCTATCCTTGAGTAAATACTTAGAATTTTTTGCAATTACTAAAGTTTGCTATGGCAGTCGAACGACAGTAATAGTCTTCAGTGTATTGTTGATTTTCGAATGAAAGAAATTAGTGTCTCTTAGAACATGTCGGTAATCTTTCTTAATGGTAACACAAGTGTTGAAATTGTCCTCATGCTTTTGTATAGTTCATTCTTTAGTATTACGCGGCACGCATGATTCGATAAGTTAGCCAATCTCGTCCACAGATTTGAATTTGGCAACAGAAGTTGACGAGGGTACTTTCGTGTTCCCTCGTTTCTCAAAATTCAGTTTTGTTTTCGGGCTTTTTTTGTCGAAAATTTGTCACTTGTTTTGTTTTGGAATCAAGATCTTTCGAAGTCTTCATTTCAAGCTAAATTTCTTTTGGATTTCAGAATTTTATTCTATCTCTAAATACGTCTTTGACCTCTACTACTTTTCGAATTTTTTGTTACAACGAGGGAGCGTGTAACAAGGAGTTTGGTACCAACTCATCATTCTACTCCAGTGCAGTTAATGATACGGTTTTATTCCAACTCCTTTATTTTTTTTTTGTTTTTACAAGTCTTTTGCTGTCTAGAGGATGGCTGCACTTTAATAACCGTCCCCGTTTCCTGTGGGTTCTTGATCAGTTATCCTGTTTTGATCATCTCCGTTCGGCTCTGGCCCAGGATTTGTTTTGTTTATAAACCTCTGTTTGTACAGGGTAATCACTTGTTTCTTAAACACGAATAAAATGCAGATGAGGACACCTGTGAAATAAATTGAAGAAATGAATCTGAGAGGTTTTATTGGGAGACTGGTGATAGGTTTTCGTGATCGGATTATGGGCTTCTTTACTGTGACGTAATTGTTACATTAGCATATCATTGTGGGGATAGATGCAGTTGCAGATTTACCACAAAAATTCTCATAATGAGGGGAATCCAGAAATGAGAATGATACAAAAAAATAATGGGCCAGAAAATACCACCGAAATGGGAACGCGGTAAAACTAACTCGCACACGTGATAATCCCACGAACCACTTGCCAGCAAGCCTACAAATTTGAATACCATATTTCCTTGAATAAGCGTAAGGACGCTTATTTAAAATTTCGGCTAAAAGAGGGGGGAGGACGTAATTATCGGAAGGAGGGCACTTAATTATTAAGTTGGCGCAGTAAAAGGAAAAAAATCAAAAGGAAAGATAACACGCATAACTTGGAAATCTTTGAGCACATGGAGATAGAAATAACTGGAACTAAAAATAACTATTCTCCTGTATTGATTTCACTTTAGTCGAGGCTTAAAAAGTTATAAATCAAGTGGCAACAGAAACCAGTTATCTTTGTAGTCCTATTATTTAGGTGAAGAAGGAAGAATGGGGGTGGGGGCTGTTAACCGAGGGGGGGGGGCACTTGTTTAAAGTTATAGTCCAGGGGGTGAGCGTAGTTTCGTAACCAGACCTTCCACGGCCAAGCGGTTATTTCAGTTACAGTTAAAGTCGCTAAGATCTGGGTACGAGATTAGGGAGGGCGCTTATTAGAGCGTGGGCGCTTACTCGAGGAAATACAGAGTGTCTAAGTGCAAGTGCACGCAAATCGTGCGTGTCGCACCGAAGCCTTTGTTTCTGGTACCGTTAAATTCGTAAGAGATCCAGTCACAGAGACAGGGGCTAGAGACCATTCAAATGATACGCACCTTGACAACTGTTGACTATGACGTATGGGTATTCCAAATTTGGAGTAGGATGAAAAGCGACCACAAGTCCCAGGATCCAGGTTATCCCTATAGCAACTGTCAAAATTAGCACCGTTTGAGGGAGGGTAGCGTGGTTTTGGAAGGTGGTCGAATTGCCCTGTGATACAGAGTAAAAAATGTCATAGCCTGTTAGGGAAATTTACATATCATATGCATGCGGAATATAGTTGCAAAATTATCTTGGCTAGCCTGCAGAGCAGTCGTAATTTTGGCGAGCGGGTGCTCAGTATTTTCTTGGTGAAAATCAAAGCTGCCATCTTTGTTTTTTTACAGCAGCGAAAGGCTAAGGCCATAAGGGGAGACAGAAATTTGTACCAAGGGGGTGGGCGACGGTCAAAAGGAAGGAGAGGGAGGGGTGGGGAAATAGATATCTGTACCTGCTGGTTCTTGGCAACAACTGTGCGAGTCAAAGCTATGATAACAAACAGAAGCGATGATAAAACAGGCGTCACTTCGGCATAATAGCGAGCTGGGAACGACAGTCCACAGTTATGCTCGTTTCCTGCGAGATAAGTAATTTTACAAGTAAAAATAAAAGGAATCATTGAAAAAGGACAACGCTAAGGGGTGTGGAAAATAACCATCGTAAACTCACCGTAAATATTTGCGGTATTGGACAGTTGCAAAGTCATGAAAAACATGACAACGACGACAGGGGAACCCCAGGAAAACAAGCTGCAACGATTGTAGGACCTCTTCCTTTTGGCGATGACCGACGGCTCTTGGAAATCAATGTCTGAAGAAAAGGAAATTACACTGTTCTTCACTATTACGCCATGGCTAAGTTTTCAAAGTTAATAAAAATACTCCGGACTATTTCGAAGTTGAGCTATAAAATCTCCATAAAATAAAGAAAGAAAGGAAATGTTTACGAGAAGAATTCATTGATTAACCCTTTAACCCCTAGGAGTGACTAACATCTATTTTCTCCTTACAATATCACCACTGAATCATACTTTAATGCCATGAGAATAAAAGAAATGATCACAAGCTAAAAGAACCTCTTGATTGTTAGACAAATTCTCCTTGTCAGCAGCTTAGTAAATGTACAGAGAACAGTATAGAGAATATAAATGCTGATGTTAGAGTACAAAGGGTCAAATGTCTTTCCGGTGATTTTTGTAAAACTAAAGACTTACAATCAGACCAATCAGAAAAAAACGGAAACATCAAATGAAGTCGATGGAAATCCAAGTAAAAGTGAGCAAACCATCTTCCGCGTGAGGAAACGCGCCATTTTAATTGGATTTAGTTTCTCATCTGATCGATTCGGAGGAGGAAGAGGGATATAACATTTTAAGGCCAATCACACAAGTGCAGCATAACCGAGAAGGGCGTGGAAACGAGTATAAGATTACCTACTTTTGGGAAATGCACGCGCTGGACAAGTGTGTATCCCCTCCCCCCTTCCCCCCGCCACTCCACGGCCCAGTTTCCTTGGTATTTGGCAAGTACCCACTTACCCACTTACATTGGTGGAGAAAGGCGTTGGACTAATCCCGTACCCAGATCCTACCGTGTAGCTGTAACTGAAACCGCTTAGCCGTGAAAGGTCTGGGTACGAGACCAGCATCAGGCCAAAGTGTATTTTTTTGATAGCAGAAGCACAAACATAGCGCAATACACTTACTTGGGTTTGTGAAAGTTTTGTGAGTATCGTGGGCGATGCAGCCCGTCCATAGAAATACAACCAGGTTCAAATAATGTAACAGAGCTCCCATCACGGCACAGACTGCCCAGGAAACAACATCCGGGTCTGAAGCAAGGTATACTAACTGCAGGGCTATCATCGCGCATGACAACTGTATCGCCATTTTACCAGGAAATGTGCGCAGCTCAGCGAATAGGAAATACGTCATCAGCAGGAAGAGCAGGGCAGTGATTGACAGGGAGAATCCGACACAGGTGGTGATGCGAAGAGTTAGCGAATAATCCGATGATTTTCCGCTTTCAATGCGTGGATCGTGTACATGCGTAGTGGGCGTTGTACTCCGAGATTCATCGTTGGTGTGAGAGACGTTCTTAGTGTCCTTGCCCTTGTCAATGCGTGGATCGTGTACATGCGTAGTGGGCGTTGTGCTCCGAGATTCATCGTTGGTGTGAGAGACGTTCTTAGTGTCCTTGCCCTTGTCAATGCGTGGATCGTGTACATGCGTAGTGGGCGTTGTACTCCGAGATTCATCGTTGGTGTGAGAGACGTTCTTAGTGTCCTTTTTCTCAACAGAGGAATGTTTACTGGGTACCAACAAACATTTTTCTTCGAACGGATTGTAAAACGTGTGAACAGGACAACTAAATTTCACAGGCACGATCTTTACGAAGCTATCAATGAAATGTTCTGCATAAATAGAGAACACGAAAATCGTTGAATAATCTCTGATTCCGACGTTGGGAACATTAACATTGGTTGGACAATTGACGGTTTTGTTAACTAGAGCTGTTGCATCTTCTAATAAAGCACAGTGAGGATTTTTTAACAAACGCATCGGCTGATTTCCATCGAGCCATTCAATAACATTTGCGTATGAACGACATAAACGATCGATCTTACGACGAGGTTTTCTATTGGCCACAAGAGGTGTTGCAATACATTTTTCAGTCTTTTTAGCATCAATCGGTATTGTATGCCAAACGGTATCGGTATATTTAATATCCTGCAAAGTAGAACTTCTGCGCGGCGCGTGTACAATCTTGACACTCCAGAAGTGAAGATTGCGTGACTTTCCATTGCACATGGCACAGTATATATTGGCATAACTAACGTTTGTTGTTACATCAAAAACCGGTAAAGCCACGAGAGGGTCAGCGGTGTAATTGCTTTTCTTACAAGCACGCTTGATTGGTGGATTCCACCATGAAGTTGGGCAGCTGTCAATCATAATGTAACCGTAGTAGGATCTCTTCTTTGACCCTGGAGCACTTATGCAAGAAAGTTGCGTTTGCTGAGTTTCGTTCTTCGGTGCTTTTGGAGCACTTGTGCGCCTTAAATGATAAGCACAAACAGTATGCTAATCAGTGTTTGAAATAATTAAAAAGTTCCACCACTGTTCTGAGTCATACGATAAGCAATCAATTAATCTGTCAGACAATCACACATCCGAAAACTTGTTCCCTGCAGGCTTTCAGCTAGTTAGAAGACGAAGCACAATGATAAACGGCGCAATACTAGCGAGTAAGTGAAGAAACGGAGGAGCTTTGGGGGTTCACTACGCGAACCGCCTAAC